ACACACACACACACACACACACACACACACACACACACACACACACACACACACACACTTGTAAGCTCCTTGACAGGCAGGGACTGATTTGAATGTAGTATAAAAGTATGTGAAGTGCTGGATAACTGTTGGCGCTAGACAAGTACCTGCAATAAATAAATGTAGACAGCTGACAAGGCTGGAACATGAAGTTCTGCCCAGGACAGGATCCAATATAGCTCTCTTGCCGAGGTTAGACTTCTGGTTCCTCCCCGATGACTAATGTACGCCACAGCTGTAGCTTTATTGGACTGATTCTGGATCAGATCACCCTCCAGCAGGACAGCTGAGACAGCCAAATCTTCCAGAACGTTGACCAGGAGACTACAACATCCAAGTACCGTGCACCAACACAGTGCCCAGGACTCCTCCCCAGCCTGACAGACTGACTTTGGACTCCTGAGCCAGGATTCCTGAATCACCAATTCAGGAACTTATTCTCACGAGATAAAATGATCTGATCGGTCTGTTTAGAGACTTGATCGACTTGTTCCAAGATGACAACATGTGGCATTTTAAAAAGGTCGGCAGCAGATGTCTGCATTCTGTCTCACAGTGGTAACCCCTTCCACAGCAAAAAACAGCAGGGACCGGGATGAAAGGTGTCCAGCAACCTATGTAATTGAGGTAGTACAAGCGCCTTCAGAGAAAGGACAACAGCTGGACCTAGAAAGCTCTCCACTGATTCAACCACAACTTTTAAGCTTTGGCAATTTTGTGCTAAAATTGCGTGGTCCATTTTCAAAGCTCGATAATGCCGACTGATAACTTTTTTTTTTATTAAATTTTTTCCAATTCACTAAAAATTTTACTGTAAAGGGGCAACTCATTTTACTATATGCAGCTTTTTGCATGTAAAGTACAATTCAATAAACAGTGCGTTCTGGCCAAAATTGGGCCGGAACGCACTGCATCTAGTGTGACTGAGCCCTAAGGGGCTTTTGCTCCTAAAATTATCATACCGTCTGGCTGGCATTACCGGTGCAGTTCTAAATGTCTATTAAAAATATTTTTTTTTAAACCAAGAATAGTGTTATGTTTTTATGAACTGTATATTCTCGCCACCTGGAATAAAGGCCTTTTAATATATTAAACAAATATTTAGAATAAAAAAAACAAAGTCAACAATTCCACAGATGTGCAATATTTATGCATACGATATTACATTTTTAGGAGAAAGTTATGAAATACAATAACTAAATGCTGCTCAATGAACCAACCCTTCCAATTTAGCGGTTTTGCTTGAATGATGTGCCTGCAATTTGAGTATTAACTATCTGGCCTCTTTGAAATGCTTGCCTTTCAGCAGTGAAAGATTCAGCTACCAAGGTTCCCATGTAAACACCTCTTTTATAGCAGACATGTCAATAATTGGCAATCATCCCAATATAACTCGCAGCGGTTTGTAACCATGATTTCTTGCTGCGTTTCAGTGATTTCTTTTTCTTGAAGTCGTAAAGTAGAGTCCTCCTGACACTTAAACAATATAGGCATACCTAGTGTGGCAATGGAAGACAGAATTCAAGCAATAATGCTCAATGGAATTTTCGGGACCAAGAGCACATTGCTAAGAGTCATCAAATCAAGCACATCACATTTTTTTCCCCAATATCATTTTGTCAGTTTATTGCGTCTTAACATTGAAACCATTCTCTTGGTAAGAATAGTTGTTGGCAACACTCGAGACAAAAATAATGATAATGGTAGGAAATTATAGTGTACTAGCAGGAACAACAGTGCAGTTAGCTTCGACAATATTGGAGGACCTGACGGGTTCACTTTAGCAACATCAGTATAAAATTTATATACAGTATATTTATTAAAAAAAAAAAAAACATTTTTTTAAATTCATATTTCTCCTATTACACTTACTACATATTGTCATTCATGAATATAATCACATTACTAACAAGTGGGTAGCGCTTGTTACTCAAGATCTATTGCCAACATACTTTTGCATTTACTTTACAGTTTCTGTACACCATAGAATCAAAATTATCGGCAAAACTGGCTTTTTGAGGCTAAAAGTGATAGAATAAAGACAGTTTATATAAAAGGAAGTAAAAAGTTAAAAAAAATACAATTGTGGGTTTAAACATTTGTGGAACCCTGGGAGATGAGGAATAAGCCTCGCCTGTGTTCCGTTTGTATGACAACACCAGGTTAGGCTGTTGAAAAGCAAAGCAATAGCGATAATGATACTTCAAAGGATTAGGTAGGAAAAGAGTTTCACAAAATGCAAGTGAAGCACACCTCAATCTTTCACTTGTAAGAAAATGGAAATATTAGTTCACTCACAGTTTTTCAATAAGCTGTTTTTCATCCAAAGCCCCAGGAAGATCTCTTTTGTTTCCAAGTACTAAAACCTAAAACAAGAAAATAAAGATATTTTGTTATGCGTGCATGAAAAGATGAAACTACACCTCTGTATTATTAATTCATTAAATAACTCATTTATAAATCATTACATTTGTAATGTAATCTGCTGTCTGTTGTATAGCAGTAGAATAGGAGGGGGTGTTGCAGTAGAGCCAAAAAAAAAAAAAAAACAAGCTGAGAAAAAGGAGAGAGCAGCTGAATGACCTTGCCAGTCTCCTGCTGCTCCTCCACTGTTCAATCAGCAGACTGGGGCAGGGTGGAGTTAACAGTGCGTTCACATGACTGTCTTCGAAAAACAAAATCTCAGTGCAAAAGAAGATTCTTAATGCTTCCTTTTCTGGCAGCCAGAATGTCCACAGTTCACTGTATTCAAGAACTAGGTCCATCATTAAAATCTAGGGATGCACTGATACTAGTATCGGTATCAATACAGAGTATTTGGCAAGTACTCGTACTCGCCCAAATACTCCTGATACGGAACGTCTGGTATCAGGAAGCCGTGCGGCGAGTCATTACATGCCGCCTAACTCCCCGATTGGCCGGGAAGTCGGCTCCATGCTTGTTAGTCACCAGGGAGCACAGAGCTGGCTTCCCGGCCAATCAGGGAGCTGGGGGGGCAGCCTATTCATTTGAACAGAGTGCCCTAACACAACGCATGTAACATGATCTAGTGCATGATAGTGCACATAGAGAACTACTGGGTGAGTAAAATATATAAACTTCCCAAATTGTGTGAGCCGGCATGCGACACTGAAGCGGTCACATGCTGGCTCTATAGCTCAAGAGCTGAGGGATCACAAACCACTGATCCCTTAGGTCATGGTGTTCTCCCTCCCAGTTTCTCCAGCAATCGCTGGAGGGACAGACATTGAAGTTGGCAGGCACAGCTAGAGGCAGAGCCAGCGAGAGGGAATCCTGACAGCGAGGTTTTCCTTAGTTAAGGTACCGAGTATTTGGGAGAGTACTCGTCCAAATGCTCCTGATGCCGATCCCGGAACTTCTGGTAGCAGGAAGCCATGCGGCAAGTCGTTACACGCCTCCCTGATTGGCCTTAAGCCAGCTTCAAGGTCCCTTGTCACCAGGGAGCATGGAGCTAGTTTCCTGGCCAATCAGGATCAGGGTTCGGGGGCAGGTAATGACTTGCCCCGCGACTTCCCGATCGGGCGGTAAGCGTATAATGACTCGCCGCCCAGCTGGCCAATCAGGAAGCCGAGCAGCGAGTCATTACCTGCCCTCTGGCTTCCTGATTGGCTGGGAAGCCGGCTTCATGCTACCTCATCACCCGGTGAGGTAGTATGCAGCCGGGTACTTCCCGGGTACTGCTCCATACTTCCTTGTCACCTGGTGACGAGGAAGCATGGAGACAGCTTCCAAGCTACTCGGGAAGCGAGTCATTACATGTCCCCAGCTTTCTTAATCGGACTTCCGGTATCGTGAACAGGGGGGGGGGGGAAAAAAAACACTTGATACCAAATAAGTGGTAGTCTTGCATCCCTAGTTGTTAATGTAACTTCAGCTTTACTTTAGGGTGCCCATATAGGGATTGTTATGGGACTTCTCTGCTTCAGACCATGGAAGGATAAATAACAAAGAGCAATGACACTGGCTGAAACACAGAGTGCAGCATATGTGCTGTGAACTTATACAGGTTTACACTTATTGTGGATTCCATTTGGAAATCATCCCCTCTAGTGGCCAAAAAGTAACACAACAACAATGTAAAACATCCTAGTCCAGTCTAAAACTGAACTTACACAGGTACAGTAAGCAGAACAATAACCAGTAATGTTGTTGGGTGGCTTTCCACCCACAATGTACTGAAATGGTGTCTGCATAGCCATAGCATGAATGCTTCAAATAGCACTGAGCAGTATAGCCCTTTTGCTCAACATAAAATAGGGACCTACCCCAGTTATTCAGGACCACTGGGCAAAAGTCCTAAACTGGCCATAGACTACACAAATCTCCATACAATTTTTTTAGATTTACCAAAACTTTGTAATACAAGGGCCAACCTAAACAATCCATTGAGCTTGTATCCCTTCAGGCAAGCCCTTGCACTACATAGTTCATGGCTATTTTAGACTCTTGAACACCATAACAAACTAGACCAGTACATAAGAATAAAAAATACAGCAGTGTATTTTAATTGATGGCTAAAGCAGCACAAAGTTTAGATATTATGCCGTACCCATTAATTGGCTTGCTCGAAGATGGAGGCTTTTTAAACAGGTTAGGTTTCCTCATCAGACATAGAATATTGTACAATGATCACCTAAAAATATACATTGATTGTATATACTGCACATGGTAAAAAAAAAGTTATCAATTTTCATTATGAGAGGCAAATCCAAAAACATTTACTTACAGGGATTCCATGCAACTGTGGTTTATCTAGCAAGTTGTGCAATTCATATTTAGATGCTTCCACTTTGTCCAAGTCTGCTGCATCTACCATGTACCTGAAACAAAAAGCAACCATCTCATTGATGCAATTTATTATGTTGTTTGAAGAATAATACAGTGAATACAGTGAGGGGAATTTATCAAAACTTGAGCAGACAAAATCTGGAGCAGTTGCCCATGGCAACCAATCAGCTTCTCTCTTCAGTTAAGAAATGAAAAAAAAACGAAAGAGCAGCTGATTGGTTGCAGTGCACAGCTGCTGCAGATTTCGTCTGCTCCGGTTTTGATAGATTTCCTCAGCATTACTATTGTGTTTATACATGTCAGGATATGGGGCATCTCTTGACTCAGTCTTTCTAAAAGCAGGGGTGGGCAACTTCGCCCCTCCGGCTGTGCTTTAACTACCAATCCTATCATCTGCTTCTTGAAGTCATGCCTGTGGCTGCCAGAGTCTTGCAATGCCTCATGGGCTTGTAATTCCACAACAGCTGGGGGGCCAGAGTTGCCCACCCCTGACTAAAAGTGTGCCTATACACAAATAAGAGTTCTAAATAAGCCCCATTTGCATCTAACTGGCCACCTAAACTCTTTGGTCCAATCTTACAGAAACATCCATGTTCTCGGAGTAAAACCAGCTACAGGATATGGGCCTGCAACCTTTTAGATTGTAGCAGTCACTTAGGGATCTGAATGGTTTTGCATGTATGACTGCTTGTCATCCTCTTCATGTCACAGTTGGCAGGTCCAAGTCTCTCTCACATAAAAACACATGGCATTGGCTACTTTCCAGTCAGGGAAGAAAATTATCCATCACATCTCATCTATTGGGTGCATTTATCTTCTCTTGCATTTTGATCCTAAGTTCGATCGACTGACAGCAATTATTAAACCCGGCCATATAGGGAATGAATCGAAGTCTGCTTTCCCGTGTGTGTTGAATTAATCATATGGATCGGATAGCAATCGTATACAATTGTCACATGTGATCAATCGAACAAAGGATTGGTCCTAAAATCGATGTGTGGCCCCCTTACTAATTCCTCTGCAGCATATTATCTACAGCACTACAGGTGCTCTTCATTAGAGAAACCACCATTAAAACTAATATTAGTCGATCTACCCTAGCCCATTATCATGTTATAAATATAGCTCTGCGCCACTGATGTTGCCACTCTACAAGAACCTTTGTGCGCAAGTCAAACAGCAGTATCAGCAGCTTGCTGAGGGAACCTCGGCTTTTAGAAATTCTGCAGTATTAGCATAGTATGGGTACGGATGGAAGAAATACTGCAATGTATGTGGGCTTATACAGATAAAACAACACAAAGTGTAAGGACAATAATGCAGAACAAGGTAGCTAAACTTCGGTACGCCAGCTGTTGGAACTACAAGTCACTGCACGACTGCCAAAAGGAAAATGCACAATGATGGAATTTGTAGGCAAGCCTATGTTTGGCTACCCCGATCTAAAGCAATTAGAAGAAACCTATTGGTGTCTTTCTTCCAAGATGCACCAAGCCAAGGCAACTTGTGTCCAAAACGTATTGGCCATCCAGTTCTTTTACAGTTCTACAATCTGGAGGGGTGGGGGGGTGCACATAATCTATTGCATGTTTGGCTAATTTGTACATCTTCACGGGCAGCCCCGCAGAAGGTTTACTTTTACATATTCAGTATACTTTAAGCTTGTTATAGTTCAAATATATTTTGAAGTAAGATTCAACTATGGCAGTGAAGTTTAATGCTGCACCATCATTGGCTAAACAACCTACAAAAAAAAATTAAAAAAAATTTAAGTTTGATTCATGAATGTCCCGTTTAGAAAAACGAAACCCGTTTGGCAAGTTGACTACTTACACAACAGCATTAACACCTCTACAGTAGCGCTCCCACATACTGCGAAATCTTGGCTGACCTCCAATATCCCAAACCTAAAAAGAAAAACCGAAACACAGAAGTCATCATCAACAAAAAAGCCCACACCTTTTCCACATATAAACTCCATTACTCCAGGACTTTAATATAATGGCCAACAGTTGAAAGAGTGATCTCTTATCAAACTTGCCATTGTTTAAGAAGAACTCCAGGATTTAGAAAAGTTAACCCTTGCAGTAGGGCTACCCCCCACCCACTGCAAAGGTTAACTGCTCGTTTTGTCTGGAGCATGAAAATAAAAAGGAGCTATACGTTCCTGATCCTTGGTCCCACCTGGCTGCTAGACCGTTCCCCGTAGCCTCTCCACCCCCAGGATCTAAGGACCCCCGACATCGTCACGTCTAATACAAGTCTATGAGACATGAGGACGCAGAGGGACATATTACAGCTGGGGAAAAGAGGTGAGCGGCCACTGCCGCAGGACCAAGGATATATATATATATATATATAGGGTGGAGTCTAATTAAAGAACTCCAGGATTTCTAAGAATTAACCCTTGTAGTGGGGCAAGCCCCACACTGCAAGGGTTTAAGTGTTCTTTTTTTTCTGTAGGGGTAAAAATAAAGAATATATATATATATATTCTTTATATTATAGAATTTGCAGTGTCTCTCAACTTCTATTGC